AAATAATAGCACGAACCAGTTCAAACACACTCTTTTTGCGACTTACAACTTTCTATCACAAAATGCTTCAAATCGTTGCGACAGTTATACAAGTTGTCCATGTTGATGTAAGTAAGGCACCTCTCCATACCGACTATACCTAATAACACGTCAACTACCACATTATTTATAGAAAAAAGCAATAATGCTGTCGAGATCATTGTGCCGAAACGCATCATCTGTCAGTGGTGTAGACCATCTGGCAGAACAAAGGCAGACATTCAATTAGAGAGACATGCCAGTAACTATCGACCAGATCAAACATGATTACTTATTGCGCCTGACCTGAGGAATTCATTTAACTCAACCATCAATCCATAGAACATGATACAAAATTAAGTTCCAGTGAAGTTATAGTAGTATAGTAGTCCTATATTCTACATATCTATGACGTAACAGCATCGGTAATCTTTTTTCACCCAAAGTTCGTTCTATAATCAATTTATTATATGTATTTTCTTTCTCTTAATCATTGGATGATTGATATTAATGCGGAATGAATGCCGTTTAAGCACCACATTTTACGTCAACGTCGACCAGGCGTATTAAAAATTCAAGACGCCAACTGTATCCAGGTTCTACGGTTTATGTTATAATCTAATATTTTCTCATCTCCATGTTAGAATCGTTGTTCTATATCAATATTATATATAATTTTCGATTCAATAATTATTAACGACGTGCTATTTAAAAAATGATTTCCGCATTAGTTTTTGATATGTTGATAATGACACCTTCACTTCAAAGATAGTATGGATAATGTTGTTCATTCTGAATGTATGTATGGACCATTATATCTTGCTTGCAGATATTTGTAGATATTCTATTGACATTCTACTAGGGGCAAGTATTTTTTCTTTCAAAAACATCCCATGTCTTACTATGTTCAACATATGGTAGTTTTTGATACAAAATCTCCAGCTGCGTTCTCAGTAAAAGATTTCAATCAGCACTAGGATCAGCTTTCTTAATTCTAATTAACTGACTTTTAACATTTCAATCTTTTAATTGGCTTCTCCCTTCCTAACGTATCGCCTTTGTTCAATGTGTTTGTTCACTAATTTGCGTGCAGAATCACGTGAAGGAAACAGTAAGTTGATCTTGCGATTTCATTATCACTATTCTCGTTCTTAGTAACCGCGACCAATAACAATGTTACCTCCTGCTGGTAGAAACGTGGCTATTATTACGATAGAAACTCCCTAAATGCAATTTCACCTTTGACAGCACTTTGGCTTTTTCGGGGCATGTTACCAAGCGAGAAGTCGAGAAATATAAGGAAATAGTTTCATCATTGAAACTAATGCATAAATAAATAAAATTAAGTGATGTCAATTGTAAACCACTCCACAGGTATTCTTCATGCGCTGTAACCACATATTTGAAAGTATTCTTGCTATGATACGAGCCTGTTTAATGTAGATATATAATTGGTCTAATGTGCGTCAAAAATTATATTATATGGTCAGTATAATCTATTTGTAGCTGCAGAAATTTTATTATTACTCAGTGGGAATATCTACAATCGTGATTTCTAACGTATGCGTTGCAACGGGAAATCTAACTTTATGAAAACGATGTTGCTTTGGCAACGTATATGGAGGTTGAAAGTGGTTCTTGAAATAATTGGCCCAAATCGATGTAAATAAAAACCATGAAAATAATAATTGTCCTAGCACTCAAAAAACGAATATGTTTTTAGAAAGATGTCACAAGTGGTCTTCACATTTTAATTTAAATATCCCATGCAAAGTTATGCATATGTATTAGTATAAAATACGCTCAATTGGTTTGTCACGTATGCAAGTATTCGTCTGTGACATTAAGTGTTGTATGTTTCATTACATACAATTGTTGGGGTAAATAGCTCCTCCATCAAAAAATTGCAGTAATAATCTTCTTTAGTGGTGTACGTACAATTGTTCTTTCCATTCTGCCGCATATAAAAGTCGGAATGAAAAATGTGTCTTGACGTGAAATTGTCGTTACAGGAGGTCATGGACAAAATTAATGGAAAATTAAGAAAAAAATTTACGTTGAATGGAAGAGGATAAGCTTACTCAATCAGGTCAAGTGACAAGAGCGTTATTTATCCCTGTCAATTTCATAATGATGGCTACTGTAAGTGAATATTACAATGAAATTACAATATAATAATTAAGAGTACCATCTGTCTTGCCAATAAACCACAAAATATGTTGAATCAGGTACATATTATGGAGTACGCTAGGATACATAAGTCGCATTGCACATCTTTAAAAAAACGGTATATTGTGAATGCCACGATGATGAATAGCTTTGGGTTTCTTCTCTACTTGTAAATTGTGCCGAGGAGTATATCCGGTAAGCGCATTAACTAACCACTTAATATTCTGAGGATTTTGCTTTTATTTTTATTGCACTATATTCTTTCGTGTTTTCTTTCATTTTTGCTCTTTGGTTGGTGTTTTTTTTTCAAAAAATACATTCGATTATAGAACACGTTTGTCCAATTTCCTGTAAACAGACGCAGTAAACCGGATGAGTGACATACTGATGATCTTTTTACGCTTCTCCGTCTACTAACACTACGTTCTCCGATACGCAATTTGAATATCCATAGACACAGCAAGACCGGAGCGTGACTAGAATTGAACTGCGTAATACATGAATACAAGTGACAATGCCTAACTGCGTGAAACTATTTCATTATATGTCAGCTAAAGGCACGACAATAATAAGAAGAATGCAATCTATACAAAGTTAGAAACGCAATCACAAGCATGTTATTACTAAGTTGTAGAAACGTATAATGAACACAGAATATGCTGTTTGCTGGGTTCAACTTGCTTGTACGATAACGACTACACTCCGTCGTTGAAAGATTCCTTATATATAGATACATCCAATACCGAATTTAATACAAAATTATTATCATATTTTTACTTTACTGTGAATCACTTAAGCTACGCGTAATTCGTCGTCAATGTGTTTGTTAATCTTTCATTTTTAATTAATAATTGTACTAATTACGCGGTGAGAATAATAAACTTAATTGCGCGATGCTGTTACCGAGCACAGTTGTTATTGATGATTCAGTTTAAAAACAAAAATAGTTAATGGTCATGGAAATGTATAAAGATGGAATGGAAATATTGGATTGTGTTGAGGTTTATGCTTTAATGTAATATAACGCTTCGTATTGTAACAAGATACAGAAGACACTGTTCCAATCAAGTCTCTTTAAAATGTCTCTTTCAAATCTATTCTTCAAAATACCAAAAGGGCTTAATATTATGATTTGCATACGAGGATGAATATTCGCGAAACGGATGGGTGCAAATGGCGGGCACAACAATGGTCAAATTGGGCAAAACCGATTTTAATCTGACAAATGATTTCTGTACATTTTTCTACATTTGTCGATATATACCTCTGTGTGTTAACGCAATGAGGGGCATTGTAAATACATTTATATCTACGAAATAAAATGACATATCCACAGTGAGTCTATCTGGAATTTCTGTTTATCACGTTTCTCGAGTAACTTGACGCTGCACCAACACAATTTGACGTACAAGAAACTAATATTGTTAAGGATTCTTATAGACAATCGCGTGTTGATACACTGCCCAGTATTTTATAGTAAATAAAAATAAATACGCTGTACATGTTATTAGTAAAAATATAAATGCGCCGAATAATTGCGGCACTGTATTTTACATGTTCTGTAAAATATACACACACATAAACATACCTAACATAATTAGTCCGCACAACACGCACCAAACCAGCAAAACATTGACATGACTGATGGACTAAATCGTTAATTACTGGGAATAGTGCTTCACTGGACACTCTAGATACATGCACCGCATAATTTCGAAAAGAGCATTGAGAAATTCTTTTATAAATATGCAATATACTTAATGATTTGAGTTGGATAAAAAAAACTTCATATTTAATTCCCCTTGCTAAAAGCCGAAAAAGACAGAATATTGCCACTATAGCGCAAGTGTTACTCAATATCACGCCGACTGTAATTGATGCTTTGGAAAAAAATCGTTACTTAACGCATCATTTGATTTGCTCAGAGCGGTCTCTGTGGTTATATTTCCTTTTTTTATAATGAAGGTAAAGCGACAGCGCCGAAAACGATTTCAGTGTATGACCTTATTGAAGGTATTTTGTCAATGGGGACCAAACTGCTAATCAGTATAGTTAGAAGGGGGTCTTACTCTGACAAAAATACCGCCGGCATGGTTGTCATATGTATGATTTGAAAGGTTGTTTCAATGTACACATTCAGGTCAAAGCAGTGATCATCAAATCCATCAATCAAGTGGTGGGTAATGGGATATCTTGTTATTTAGTGTGACCTACAAAAACTATCGGTAATATTATTTAGTATTAAGTTCAATGTGTACTATATAGGTAACAGTCATTTGATTATGTTAATTGTGATGAATTTTACGATTCTATGTTGAATATAAACTGATGAAACGTGATCGCTCGCTACAGTAATGTATGTGGCAATGTATAAGCTATAGAATGGGGAGGTTATATTATACTATCAAAATATACAAATATATATTTTCGTAAATTAATATTAAATAAAATATAATTCAAAATAATTAATAAACGCAACTGTTTTATGAATGACTCACTAGCAAAAATATTCGATTGTTCACCTCCAGGGGTTCAGTCATATGAATATGTATTTACGTTTTTCTCCGCATCAAGTAGTGTGTACCAAAAATATTACTATTGTCGAAAGAAGTCGGCGTGTTTGTTCGTAATCCCCAATAAATGAGTAGCGATCACGCCGTGTTCATAGTAACGCACCTGCATGACAATTCGTTCTGCGCAGACGACGTGCTAATTGTAATATTCGATTACCCAGAACTCTTTGCGATCCGTGTGAACAACAAAGCTGTATTCTCCCGCTCACTCAGTCGAGTACTGCAGTGCGCAACCAGCAACACTCGTATTGCGTAGGTCTTCAGAGCAGATTGACGCGATATTGAGAGTCAAAATGACGAGTTCATCAAACAACGACACATTTCCATCGATTCTAGAGTTAAATGTCGGCGGACAGTTGTATACAACGGCGCTTTCGACGCTGGTTAAAGAGACCGACTCGTTATTAGGGCAGATGTTCAGCGGCAGTGCTAAGACGGGCGTTCAAAGAGACTCCCGTGGTCGTTATTTCATAGATCGTGATGGCATACTGTTCCGTTATATTCTGGACTACCTTCGCAACAGTAAACTGGTGTTACCGGAAAATTTTACTGAGAAGGAAAGGCTGAGGCAAGAGGCTGAATTCTACAAGCTCGGCGGTTTAGTCAAGGCGATTGCGAGAGACGGAGGAGCAGTAACGCAAACTGGCCGACCGACTTTAGCGCCAATAAATAACACACCGCAAAATCATGTTAACAGCGTTAATGCAAATGCGATTGGTAAGACCCCTGCTTATATTACACTGGGGTACCGAGGAACGTTTGCATTTGGTCGCGATGGTCTAGCTGACGTCAAATTTCGTAAAGTCACACGTATTTTGGTATGCGGAAAACAGATGATCTGCAAAGAGATTTTCGGCGAAACATTGAACGACAGCCGTGATCCAGACCGCGTACACACCTCGGATCGCTACTCTTCGCGCTACTTTCTGAAGCATAACTATCTGGAACAAGCCTTTGATATGCTTGCTGAGGGTGGTTTCCGTTTTGTTAGCTGTTGTGCATCGGGGACGAGTACTATTGTCGGCTCACCGGAAAGCGAAGAGAGCAAATGGAATCATTATAACGAATTCGTATTTCAACGATCGTAGTTCTGCCTCGCAGGGGTTGTATATCTAAAAGGAGCTCCGTCATTGTGCCAATGAGCGGGAATGTGGTATCGACCGTTCTATCATTTACACTGTTGGCTACTCGACCGGCGAGTCAAAACCATTTGAAACACATTCATATATAATACCGGAATGTTTTCGTATGTTAATGCAAATTACGCTCCTCGCATGCATTGCGAAAAATTTCAAGTTAGAACATCTTTCTTCTGTACAATTGTACTAGACTTATAAATACACTGAACTGCAGATATCTACTTCGAAACTGTGCATAATGGTGATTATACTTCTGTGCTATTTTCTTTCCTTTGGCATACACGCCTTTATTAATACCAGACCGCTTCTTTGTAAGTTGGCAGTCTGGTTGTTATATTCGTCTCGTGTGTTGTCTGCATAGTATTCGACAAGGTGTACGCGGCGTTATCATATAACCAACGGCATGGGTTCTTGTTAATCTACTTGTATATTATTCTCTTGTAGAGTATCGAGAGCTCATCACTTTTTTTTATAGATAAGCAATTTCTTACAGTGATAATATCATAACCGCCTCTGTACCTTAATGTAAATTTAGAATTAATTTAACATTGTTTTAGAGACGATGAACAAGTGTACATTTATCATGCGGTTTATCGTGCGTTTTCTTGATTGTGAACAAATGACCAACCCTGAATATGTCCCAGTGGAACAGCGCAGATAAAAACAAGCTACAACAGTCTTTCGGTAATATATGTAGCATGGTATACTTACTATTCGTAAATTCGTATTTAGTTTTCTATCTTTTCTCGGTGTACTGGTATTTGATATATATTTGAAAAAAATAGTATTCATAAACATGCAATACTGTGTACGTACCCCACTCATTCCGATCGGCGTATTCTGTTGTTAGTTTATCGCCAGTTTGAAACGCAATACATCTGACAACTATTTCAAGGGTACTTATATTTTATTTAGTTGAATTAACAATCATGTCTAGAGGATAAAATCTGTATTATTAAGGACTGTATATACATTCATGTACTCAACCTGACCATTTGCGGGTTTCAGTGTCACGTGGTCTTTTTCCTCCAATACGTAATAATTATCCGCCATTTTGTCATCTTTGTTCGCTGTTCCTTGTTGAAAAAAAAATGAAGTATGCATTTGATATAACACCAACTGTTTGCAGATGTACGTTCGACTTACTGTACCGATACCCCATGGAAATGTGATGTTGCTTTGTACAAATTGAGGTCAACATGATCTGGTGACGATGCACGTCGTGCATAAACTTGAAACGAGCCTGCTGCGTCACTGGCGTATTCGAACAAAATATCACGCGCACTTGAAACCCGCAAGCCGTTTATTCGAATTCAACAAGCTCCACAGACATGGCGTGTCTGGCTTGTAGATGAAATGATGTCGTAGGTGATGTTGTTCAAAACAGATAATAGACGAGGTAGGAGATATGCCATTTAATCACATTGTTCAATCGTGAAAGAAACGTAAGTTTTTTTAATGAAATTGCATGTATTTATTTATTCGTTGTTCAATTGTATAGCGTGGGCAATATTGGCAAACGCGCATAGAGCATATGTCACGTGTTAGAACGCGTACTGAGACATTTCGAAATGATAACACGTAGATATGCTACAACATTCAAGCATTGTATTCAAAACGCATTTTATTAAATGAAAAACGGTTCTCGCTGAAAGCGCATGCGCCAAAATAATTCCAGTCGTCTGTCTTATAAGGTAGTACCAGACTCTTCAAATGATTTGTCATCATTACATTGGCTTCGTTTTTTTAAATCGAGAGAATAAATATGTTATTTATTCAAGAATAAACCATTTACTGTGCAATTAAGGATCTGGTATTTTCAAGTATGTGGCGATCCCAGGCTGATTAGAAATACTATGCGTGCAGCAATTAAGATATAAACAATTATTATTAAGTCATTTGAGAAACAATGTTATGTACATTACAGAATTTTACTACTAATATATGCATTTAATATAAACGTATGAACGGGCAGGAAAATTTACGGCATATAATTTGGGTCAAACAGAATATTCATGTTGAATAACTAAACTATGATCCGACGCCGTTGTAACATTGCTGTATTTCCCAAAGTTGCTTGCATTAAATAAATAAAATAAAGGTTTCCGATAGTAAATATGTAACTTCCATCTACAGTTGACCGTGTCTCTTTATTGCATGCTTATTTGGAAACCAAACCATTCATCATTTATGTTAATTCATTATTTGACATTTTTACATTGCGGTTTTTTTTTTCAATGTCAATGATAATATAATAATAGTTCAGAGGAAACGTCTGTGAATCGACGATGTTATAGTCACCGCATTGTGTAGGGCTTTGTCAATTCATGTTTTCTTTTCAGTCTTATATCGAGTAGCTGTATTCTACTCTCCTGGCAGTATCTCATGTTGCCATGCCAACCCCTGTATATAATAACCAGCACGATGACGCTGAGATATTGTAGAACGGTTTTAATGAGTTAAACATGGAGGGGATGTTCCGATATATGGCTTAACATTTTAATTATCCAAGATGTCGTTTATATTTAATCTACAGTGAATGCAGCTCAGATATTTTTTAAGGTTTTGTACAAGTGGGAGTTGTAACCATGAATACTTCCTTTGAATAAATCCCGAAAAGTTGTTGTTTTAGCGAATGAACACAAATCCTCTGGTACATTTGCAACTAATAATCATTTTTTTAATTATTTGACTAGGTTAAAAATGAAGTAGTACCAATTTCTCGTCACCGCGACCGTCGTCTGGGTCAAGTTCAGTGATGTGCTTCCTTCGAATTATACAAAATGCGTACGTGTTTATTGTGAATTTGAATATACGTATTTCCTAGAATTTGATCTTAGCAGCTTTGCGCTCTTAGGATGATGCACACACTGTCACAGCATCAAATCCAATTTGATTTAATCACGGACGTCATAGTGATGTAATAGTTAATATGACTAACAAACTCTACCATTAATGGAGCTCGCTACGCTTTACTCAGCTTGTGGAATTTTCTCATAAAGATGGACAAACTGACTTCAGCCACGTTAAACATTGGTATATTTATTTACCATTTGCATGCGATCATGTATGTAATGCAATAACCCCTACGCCGATTGAATCGCCATGCATCCGTAACCACGGTTGCGTGATTTGATTTCATTTGGGAGCGGAAATGAGCCTGGAGAAGACGGAAACTCGGGAAGATGGCACAGTTACCTTTCTTCGTTCGTGACGTGAAACTTCTTTTAGTAATTATGCTTCTATATTTGCCGTTATAGAAATAACTCGAGGGGTGTATTGCCATGGTAAACGGTGATTAAGAGAATGTTATGTTCTGTTATAACAGTTATTGCAACGGATGCGATTTGTCGGGCATAGTTGAACTTTGCAATCATATATAACGATTCGAACTGCATTCAATGTCACCGTATATATATATATATATTTATATACGGTATATATATATATATATATATATATATATATATATATATATATATATATATATATATATATATATATATATATGCACGATGGAATTATTTAATTCCTTCACAATATTACATCTGAGTAACTGATAATTGGTTTTGTCGCATATCAATGTGAGACTATAGTACTTACAATTACCAGTAAATGTTACGCAGTGATTCTAAGCGGAGAACACATTTTCGTTTGCGAGTGTAATGATTTTTGAGTGAACTGATTGGAGACAATATATCACAGAATACCTACGTCATACTATACACTCAGGGAGTTGTCACCGAGATGTAATTGTGCAACATTGATATGTCAGATCAAATCCTTAACAGACACTGTGTTAAAGCTTGGGGAATATTATACACGGCGCGCGAGAGTGTCTTGAGAGATATTACATGTGCATCTAAAAAAAACGTGGCTTTTTGTCCCGTGGTTATTTGAAATGGCCACTCTATTTTAAATTAAGACATACAGGTTTACAGCTGCGTGGTGATATTAAATATATTATCTGAATGTGTGTATGTAACAGACAGGCGTATATACACTTCAATATCGGTCGTTCTACTCACACCTGCGTGTTTCATCTGTTTCATTTTTCCTTGATGTTTTCTGTGTTGCCAACAAATCTCCCCGATCAAACGTTTGTGCAGAGCTTATTTGCTGACTCATAATATTTTTTTTAAAACTGATATTAGGTGTTAATGTATGCAGAATAAGTTGCATGTTTTGTGTGTATATATACAGGTATGTATGCGTGTTTCTACCTTTGTTAACTGTTGCAGAATCGTATGATATCGAACATTACAGACATGATACTGAATCAACCGAATGTATAATCTTATCTATGTATAGTAAGTCTCAATTTAATTTTCGCTAGTCTATGCAATGTCTATGTAATGTCAATGGGGAGACTAACAATATAATATGACCTGTGGTATAATTGTTATAAAGTGACAGTTGTATCTTATTGTCTGTATGCCAATCTTAACTAGCAGTCAGGGACGTGGTTTAATATGTGCTCTCGTCTATTCCGAAATGTTTGATGTTAATCTATAATAATAATATATTGTGTTCTAGCGTGTCGACTAGTATTCTGAACATTGTTTATATAGGCATTGTGTGTTTATAAGAAGTTGTAAATATAGTCTGGCAGTGTAATGTACGTGTACATCGTGTAAACGTGTTGTGTTCCCCGATGACGTCATCAATTTGGATAAATTGGAAATGGCAATTCATATCACATATTTCGAACAAAGATTCATGCAATGCATTGTGTTATCACATGACTATCACGTTAATATACGAGTAGTGGTTGTTGTAGTCAAACCAATTTTCTATTTTTTTTTTATGTTTCAACGTAACAGTCACAATGCCACAGGTAACGATGACGTAAATTACCATCTGAGTGGAACGATCGAGACGTGAATTGTGAGTTATTGCCACTATAAGTATTATTCTGCTGCCGAATAGCCGCTAGGTGAACATAAATA